GGGGGACGCCGGGGGGCGTGGGGGGCACGGCTCCCCGGAGCGGCGGTACGTGGGGGGACGCCGGGGGGCGTGGGTGCGGCCGGTGGGTTCCGCCCGGGGGAGCGGGGGGCCACGGAGGGTACAGAACCTGTAGGCCGAACGGGGGGGTGGGGCTCCGGCCGAGGAACCCTGAACTACGCCTCGGAGACTCTCCAGAGGCGGAGAAAGGAGGTATCTGACAGGAGACCCCTCCGAGCGCCGCGGAGTCACACTCCACACCAGCCCGCGACCAGGCCCCAACCTTGGGGCCCCTGGGCCACAGCGCAGGCGCGGCGCAGGCCGGAAGCGGAAACGGCGGGGCGGGGACGGCCACAGCGGAACTTCCGCCGGGCTCGGTTCCGCCTCCTCAGGCTCTCCGAACCGCTGTGGGCCACACCCCTCCCTGTTCTTTGACCGCCCCCACCGTGGAGGACCCGCCCTTCCGCCTCCGTGCACCCCCCCGGCGTACCCCCCCGAAGCTCCTAGTGTACCGACCTTTCCCCTGCCTCGGTACCCCATCTCTCCGCGTTTGTACGCCGCGTACTCTTGGGGTGCCCCCCCTCCCCGCACCCCAGGCCTACCCCACCCCCTGCACCCCGCACTCCCCGCAGACCCCACCTCTCCCCGCCCCGCACGCCCGGCCTACCCCAGCACGTACTTCTAGCCTACCCCGCCCTTCCTGCACCCCTCCGTACCCAGCCGCTCCCCCACGGTTCCCCCAAGTACCGCGCTCCTCCATCACTGGGGACCCCCTAATGGTTCCCTCCTGCCAACCTCCCACGATGTGCCCTCCTGAGCCCTGTCCTGAGCCCCCCTCAGCCCACTCCTTGCCCGCAGAGCCCCTGGAGGGGAGAGGGGCAGCGTCCTCTGGCTCACGGCCCCCCTTGGGGTGTGGTCCGCGCGGCGTCGAGGTGAGGTCACAGGGGGCAGGAGTGGGGAGGCAGGGAGAGCCCAGGGCCCTTCATTCTGTGACTGGTCTGGGTCTTCTGTGCGGGTCCTCAGCAGCCGGCTGAGGGCACATGCCCGCAGGGCTGGAGCCAAGGTGGGAGGCCTGGGCCCCGGGGGCGGGACAGCGCGGGGTGCAGTAGCTGCTCCTGCCAGGGTAACCATGTCGAGAAAAACGGCAGCAGCAGCTGGGGACCTGGGTCACCCAGTGGCCTGAGGCCTGCCCGGCACTGGCTGGCCAGTAGCTGGAAGGTGAGCCTAGCAGGGCCTGACACTGTCTCCATCTGCTTGGGGGGCCCAGGGAGCGGTGGTGACCTTTTCCAGAGCCCGGGAGGTGCAGACACGCAGCCTGTGGGGCTGGAGATGGACCGTCTGAAGCCCTTGTCTAATACCCCCTTGGGGAAGAAGCCCAGATTGCCACTGCCCCAAGAGCTCTCTCCAGCTCTGAGCCCGACCATGGCCTGGGACCAGCCCGGTGCCCAGGGCGAAAGGCAGCAGGCGCAGACACAGGACTGGGTAAGCTGAACCCTAGCAACCGGCTTTGCAGGTGGGCTGGTCCGGGTGGGATGCAGAAGGGGCGACTGGGCCTTGGGGAGGGCTGAACGGTGCCTGCTGGGAGGCTCACAGAGCATCAGGTCTCTTCCCGGGGCCCTGAGTGGGCACCTAGGTGGCCCCTTCTGCCTTCCATACTGGCCCCTGGCCGTTTCTGCCGGGCACTTCAGAGGGGCCTGCCTCGGTCTCCCCAGCACCTGCACCCTGGGTGCGGAGGGTGGCACCCCAAGGAGGGAGCCAGTGACAGGGACCTCTGCCCCACAGCAGAGCTCCTGGAGAAGGTAGGCAGGCAGTCAGCAGGACTGGCACCAAAAGCGGTGACCAAAACATTCCCAGGGGTTCTGCTTGTGACAGTCCCAAACTGGAGGCACCTCTCCATCCCCCTGTCTCACACCAGATGGGTGAGCAGCTGCTTGGTTCCCACCGAGCCATGAGAGGGGGCACAGCTACTCCAGCCCCCGGAGATGCTTCAGGACCACAGAAGCCAGACGCCCGCAGTGGTGTGGGGTTCCCTGTGTGCAAGGGTCAGAGCCGGGTCGGACACATGCCAGGTGTGACGGGGCGGCCAGCGTGGCGAGTGGGAGCCTGTCAAGCTGTGTGCTTAGGCTCGTGTGCGTGGACACTTGCTGTGGTCCGAGGTTTTTGTAAGAAGGTGGCAGGAAAGCAGGCTTCCTAGCTGCCCCCTGTGGCCACCGTGTGGTCTTCCAGCCACGGCCCCTGCCCGAGTACGCGTGAGGGCTGTGAGGGTCCTGGGCGGCCAAAGCCACAGACCCCTCGACTTGCTGGACCAGAACATAAACACACAAATGTGTCACCTGGCAGGAGGAAGGGCGTGACTCGGGGGCCCCCATCCTGAATGGGTGGCGGGGACCATCGTACTCCTGGCAGCTCTTGGGCAGAGCCAACCCCCACCCCCAAGCTCGAGGTTCTGAGAGGTGGGTGGGGGCCAGTGGGGCCGCAGGGAAGTGGGAAAGAAGGGCCCGGTGGGTGGTGTCCAGAAGGGAGGGATTCGGGTGGCGGCCGGAAGAGAGTGCAGACCCATCTCTGCAGACTCTCAGGTTTCTGGTTTGGGGGCAGGGAGTCCCTCTCCCTCCATGTTATCATGCTGCTTCCCTCCTCTGCTTCCAGCCCTCCGGGAATGTCAGCTGCTCCCTGCAGCCTGAGGGATTCCCTGGGCTACTCTCTGTCTCACTGTCCTGCATGGTGTCCTTCCTGTTTGTGCTCCTCAGTGTGGAATGCTGTTCCTGCAGGCCGGCCTGCAGCTGGCCCCTTGTCAGCCATCACCTCCAGCCTGGCTGACCATTCCTCTCGTCCCTGTGTCATCCCATCCTAAGACCCACAAGACCTACCTTCATCTGCAGTGTTCACGGTGGGCCCCCGTTGCCTCACACAGTGAGGCCATGTGCTCCCAAAGGGGCAAGGAGCGCAGGCTGAGGCCAGGGTCTAAGGAGACCTCCCCCGACGGAGGGTCCGCCAACATTCAGCCTCTCAGCAAGGGCTAGACGAGCTTATGCTTCCTAACAATCTCACTGAAATGACCGCAGAGTGTTCTGAAGAAGGCGAGAACCCACAAAACAGCACAGGATGGCAGGGCTGGTCAACAGCAGTCACATTCTGGTGGGCAGTCACAGATTGGGCAGAGCTGTGTGGTGGGGTGCAGCAGAAACAGGTTGCTGCCCTAGCCACTGAGCCCCAGTCCACCCACATTGCTAATCCAGTCTTGGTGCCCTATTCCATACCAACTGCCGGCTAAGCACACCAGGCATTTGCAGAAAACCTCTATCCTGAAGGAGTAAAACTAGAAACAACCAGAACCACAACAGTGCCAAGCAAAACAAAACGGAGCTGCAGGCGAGTCACCATCCTCACGGTGACCTGTGCCATCTTGGAAGAATTGGCCATGCAGCACCACGGAGGAATGTGAGTGTGCCTGTTCAGTGTAGGAGAATGCACCGGAACCAGTCTACAGCAGAGGGTTCGGGAAGAGGGTCCACACGACTTCCTGCAAACCAGGGCCTGCATGGTTATAAACAGACTCCAGAAGAAAAATGAAAAAGGCCAATCTGAAAATGGGAATAAACTTAATAGGAAACAGGCAAACCTACTTGAGAGAAACTTTAAAACATCCTGGATCATTACCGAGAGCCTTGACAACAGGAAGAGACACCCAGTTCTTGGAGGGGAAGACTCCCCAGCACCAGGGGTCCTCCTCAGGGATTTCACAATTCAGTGTCATCAACAATAAAAATGCTAAGTGTTTGGGGCACCTGGTCAGAAGAGCATTCGACTCTTGATCTTGGGGTCGTGGGTTTGAGCCCCCCATTTGGTGTAGAGATCATTAAGAAAAAAATAAACTTAAAGAAACGGTAAATGCTTGTCTTCTTTTTTTCAGTATGTCAAACTGGTAAAATAGAAAAAATAATCAAAAATAGGTTCAGTCCTAGCAGATGTGAATTCATATCACAAAATGTCAGTTAGCAAAGCAAGAGTCCTGGCGTGTGATGCATGAATATCAAGACGGAAAAGTAAGTCTGGAAATTGACCCAAATGCCCACAGACACTTAGCGTAGGATGAAGATGGTATCTCAGATCAGTGGGGAAGATGGACTTTGTCATGCGGGGCAACGGTGTAGCTATCTAGAAGACAGATAGTTGTGGGTGTGCCTCTCACTGAACACCAGGATGAACCCCAGATGCATAGGGGCAGACTTTTAACCTAGCGTCCAAGTCCAGAAGCCAGGAAAGAATAGATGGTTACATTTAACCACCTGTGGAAAACCAACAAAACTTTTAGGGAGGCAAAACACCACGAACAAAGAGGTAGCTGATCAATGCACCAAGACGCTGGCGGGGGGCGGGGGGTGCGGTCTTGTCCACACACCGTGCTGGGAACACTGGATTTGCAAAAAGAATGAAGTCAGACTCTTAATGCCACATACAAAAACTAAAAATGGATCAAGGACATAAAAGTACAAAACTCCTGGAAGAAAATACCGGGGAAAGCTCCATGATATTAGACTTGGCCCTGATTTCTTGGATGACACCCAACAGCTCCAGAAACAAAAGTAAAAGATAAATGAGGGTTCATCAAATTAAAACCTTTTGATCCTCAAAGGACACCATCAACAGAGTAAAAAGTTAGCCCATGGGGTGGGAGAAAACCTGTGGCCATCACATACCTGGTAAGGGATTAGTGTCCAGAATGCATAGAGAACTAAAACTCTAAACCAAACAACAACCTGAGGCAGAAATGGGCAAAGGACTTGAACAGACATTTCTCCTGTTATATCAGGGGTCGACAAGTATGTAAAACGATGCTCAACATCATCAGTCCTAGGGCAATGCAAATCAAAACCACAGGGGACAACACTTCCCCCCGCCCCCAGGACTGTAACTCCTCTCAAAAAAGGGGGGGCACCTGGGTGGCTCAGCAGGTGAAGCATCTGCCTTCGGCTCAGGTTATGATCCCAAGGGTCCTAGGATCAAGTCCCGCATCGGGCTCCCTGCTCCGCGGAGAGTCTACTTCTCCCTCTCCCTCTGCCGCTCCCGCTGCTTGTGCTCTCTCTCTGTCTCAAATAAATGAATGAATAAGTCTTTAATTAAAAAAAAAGAAAAGTACGGGCCAAGGTGTGGAGAAAGTGGAACCCTGTGCAGCGCTGGTGGGCGTGTGAAGCGGTGCAGTCACTGTGGGAAACAGCATGGAGTCCTCCAGAGCTTAGCTAGAAGGACTCGCGCACACAGGTGTACATCCGTGTTTATGGCAGCATTATGCACATAGCCAAAATGTGGAGGCAACCCGGGGTTCTGTCGGAGGAGGAATGTGAAGTGTACGTGCGGTGGAATATGATTTAGCCTTAAAAAAGGAAGTTCTGACAAATGTTACGACACGGATGAACCTTCAGGACATTGTGCTGAATTATCAGCCGGTCACGGATGGACAAACGCCGTATGACGCACTTACGTGAGGCCTCTAGAGTGGTCAGACTCAGGAAGTACAGTGGGGGCAGCAGGGGCTGGGGAGGGGCTGGGGACTTAGTGTGTGGGGAGGACAGAGTTTCAGTTTGGGAAGATGAGACGGGCTGTGGCAGCGGCTGTACAACACTGTGAATGTGCTTTAGTGGCCCTGAACTGTACACCTTAAAATGGTAAAAGTTACGTGTAATTTAGCACACGAGAAAGCATGAGAGGAGAAGAGATGGGGAAGACGTCATTTGGGGACACGCAGCTCCCCGTGGGGAACAGGGCGAAGCTGCTGCCGGTCCCAGACACCTCAGGACACAGCAGGCGGGCGTGGAAGCAAAGCTCCAGGCACCAAGGGGAACTGGAGAGCCACGAGTGCCAAACAGAAGTTCTGCAAGGACAGGGGGACACTGAGCGAGGCCGCCCCCCCAGCTGACCCTGCGGGGCCTGGGCCAGTCTGAAATGGCCCTGGTGGCAACTGAGGCCAGCAGGTTGTCCTGGAACGGAAGCGAGCTGCCCCCAGGCGAGTCCCTGCCCTGACACCCAGCCCCTGACAAAGGCACCAGGCACGAACCTGGACGGCAGAGACCGCGTGTGGTTTGTGCGGCGCGCGCACCTGCAGCAAACAGGCGATCGTTGGGAGGGAGTGAAAGGTGTTCAGTGTCAGGGCTATAAATGAAGTCGTTGGACAAAGTGTGGAAAGGTGGCGGATACAGGTGTGGGCAGGGGTGCGGGGAGCAGAGCCAGCGCCCCCTGCTGGTGGCAGCCTGCGTGGCCGTGCGGTGGCGGAGCGCGGACCCGGAGCGAACCCCCCCAAACCCACTTGGGAGCATCTCAGAAGCATGCAGGGTGAGAAGCAGGTGGGGGAACCGCTGTGGGACTGTTCGTCCACATCGTGGGGCCAGCGCTGGGCCTCCTAGTATTTATGACTGTGGCCAAAAGTGGCCGGGCCTGGAGCAGGCCCTGGGGCTCAGCGCCGCCAGCTGGGGGAGGAATCCTAGACA